GATTAAATCACAAAAAAACAAGTTAATCAGCATGAAGATAAAAACCAACATACTTGGAGTAAAATGAGCAGAATATGCAAAATGACATACTGTTTTAGACAGGTGAATTACAGCACCCTCACACACACCCACTTAGACACACACTTCTTTTTTAAACTACTATTGTTATCAGTTTTGCTATTAATAATAATGAAAATGAGGGTTAAAACAACTTTTGTATTTTTGCACTTTATTCCATTCATTTCATTTATTCAGTTTACATAACCGCTTATCCTGTTGGGGGTCGCGGGGTGCTGGAGCCTATCCCAGCTGACACTGGGTGAGAGGCAGGGTTCACCCTGGACAGGTCACCAGACTATCACAGGGCTGACACATAGAGACAGACAACCATTCACACTCACATTCACACCTACGGACAATTTAGAGTCACCAATTAACCTGCATGTCTTTGGACTGTGGGAGGAAGCTGGAGCACCTGGAGGAAACCCACACTGACACAGGGAGAACATGCAAACTCTGCACAGAGAGGAAGAAGGGCTCCCCCAGCGCAGGTCTTAGCCCCCCAGCCTGGGTTTGAACCAGGAACCCTCTTGCCGAGGCAACAATGCTAACCACTGCATCACTGTGCCACCAATTCGTGTATTTGTTTATGGTAGCTATAGCCTGTATGAAGCTTTTATTCACACAAAAAGCATAAAAATATGCACTGGATTTAGTAATGATTTACACAAAATTTTTGCAAGATGTTGAAAGAAACAATAAAGGATTAAAAAACAGAAGATCAAACTGATGGCTGATGCAGAAACAGAAAACCTCCAATAGTGCACGGACTGATTAAATGTTAACTCTCTCTTGAAAATAAAAGTGTAACAATGACAGCAATTTAAAATTAAGACTCACTTTATCATAATTCATTAGATTTAGTGAGTCAAAACCATGATGGTGAACCTTCAAATATGGATTTAGGAGATAATCATTTGTTTTTATTATTATAAATGTTAAGTAATACATTTCACTCAACATCTCATCATTTTGACTAAAGTCATAATGCTTGAAATATTCTTTGATAAAAGACATAAACAATAAGACTCTTAACTGACTTCCAGTGTGATAAACACTGCACATTTCTGACCTGCTCACAGCTGTCATGGCTTATCATCAGAGACATGTGTGTGTGACAGTTCATATCTGTGAGCTGATTTACTCTGGATATTTTATGTATTTCACGTGTTCTATTTTATGCCTACATTTTACCCTCTGAACTATTTTATGTCTGAGATTTTTTACATGCATGTTTTTCTTCTTTTGTATACTTAATGAGCGCTGTAGAAGAGAACAGGAGATCTATTAATAGCCAGCGACTGCTGATGTGCATATAATGACAATAAATAACTTGGAACTTGAAACTGTAATAAACTTTATTAGTACAGTTTGAAGAACAATCTACAGGAAGACATAAATAAAAGCCAAAAACAAAGCTGAACAAAGATCAACTGTTTATTTTGGCCTTTCTTTGTTAAGTCACATCATGAAGACATATAGCATATTAAATTACAAGTAAACTCACTTTGCTTCACCTTAATGTGCATCCACCAACATGCACTTCTTTAAATAAATGAGTGGAGAAACATAACGAACGCAGATGCTCCCATATAGGTAAATGAACCACACTTGTCCAGGACTTTTCTAGTCTTCTGACGACTTAAAGTGAACACACACATTTATAAACTGGCAGAGGCTACCATACAAGGTACCACCTGCTGCTCAGTAATCATTCACTCGCACTCACACCAATGGAACAGCCATTGGGAGCACTTGGGGGCTCAGTATCCTGCCTGAGGACACTTTGACGCGCAGACAGGAGCTGGGGATTGAACTGCCGATATTCTGATTGGTGGATGACTGCGCTCTGCCCCTGAGCCACAGCTGCTCCATTGTGCCATGACGCAGTTTACATAAAACCATGCGCTGTGGCATGTATAAAAATGCAGAACAGGCCCGGTTAGATCTGATTTTGTATCAAGACGGTGAGAGGAAAAGATCTAAGTGACTTAAAAAACAGGGTTTGTTGTTGGTCCACAGGGACTCTGGTCCAAACTGCTCACCTGGCTGCTGTTTCATTATTAATATGACATCTACATTAAGATTTATGTGGGCAGTGTGGTTGCACAGGGGCCCGTGAGGTGAGGCATGGAGAGAGTTGGCCCTCCAATGATGTTGGGTGGAGAATGGGAGGGAGTACAAACTTATTTATTCCCACTCCTTCTCCAAATATTAATAATAGTCAATTATGTAGCTCCCATCACTATAAAGCTGTGTAATAATTAATTCTCCTAGCAATATTCTAATATATTGAATTAATTACCAATAATATTTGTCTTACGGCAGGATTATCACAAAAAAATAGAAATCTATATATCTATACCTTATTCAAAAAATAATCTGATCTTTACATCCTTATCAAATAATGACAGATGTGTTTGCTTTGTCATATTGTGTATGTAATAAATAGATGAATAAATACAGAGTTAACACCTTCTTCATTCTTGTACCTTGTGAAATTCATCTCTTTTTAAATTGTTTTATGTCTGGACATTTCTTCAGCTCCACATTCAAACAGTTCCATAGTTTCACTCTACAGATAGAAAGACAAAAACCTTTTCTTGTACGCACAGTCAGAGTCTTGAAGTTTAATTTTAAGTTTTTATTTTAAGGATAATGAGTGTGTATGATCCCCATATTCTGCCCCATGAATGATCCGAATTACTTTCTTTTGCAGGAGCAAAGTTTGATATGATGATGTCAGGGTTACAACACAGGAGTGGACATGAATAGAAAAATGCACATGTAATGACAGTGAGTATAGTCGACTGACTGAATGTGGAGCAACTGAGACATATTGTTGGAATTGCATTTACTCTTCTGCAGAAATCACAGGCTGTTTGTCATCAGTTTTGTCAATGGATAAGCGTTTTTAAAATGTACCTCATTAAACTAAAATAATGGGAAAAATTTGGAGGTGTTTGTTACTTGGGCAGCAGTAGCTCAAGCCACAGGGTCTTCTGTTGGGAACCGGAGGGTCACTGGTTTAATTCCCCATATGACTACACACCCATTCACCCCTGGTCCCACCTGACCCTAACGACTCACATGGTGGCCAGGTGGGTCAACGACTCACATTGTGACCTTAACAACTCTGAAACTAAGAGCTCACGTGATCCCTACGACTCTGCAAGGGTTCCCACCCACACAGGGTTTATAGCCTGCAACTTCGTACCAGTCATTTAGAATTGAAGAAGCTTCTTGGATGAGAGGCGAAACATCTTCAAGAAATGCAAGCAAGTCCAGTTGCCTATGATATTAGCACTTACGATTCCCCAGATATAGAGCATGGACTGGTAGCAGGAGAGGTGCCATTTCACTTCCTGGGCACTGAACCTCCGAACTGCTCAACGTGCCTGTCCATGGGCAGCCCCCCCTCTGACATCTCTGCATTTAATGCATGTTTAGGTCATGTTTGTACATGTGTGTGCAATTTGGGCCTGTGTATGTGTGTGTGTGTTTATGTATATGACAATGGAGTGAAAAAATTGAATTTCCCCATGGGGACAAATAAAGTCTATAAAATTAAATTAAAAAAATAATAATAGGGAATGGGCACAGTGACGTCACCATGGACGTTGCCGCCATGTTGATGGCTACGGGCAGCAGTAAACAAACGCAGTAGTTGAGTCGCATCGAGTGGAGAAAGCGAGGGAAAAGATGTTAAGATGCCAGAAAGGAAAAGGAATTTACCGGGATACACTGAACCACGAAGCCAGGGACCGGTATATGGAGAAAATGAACGCTATAAATGGTTTGGACCTAGCCTTGGACCAAAACGTCTTGAAAACGTACCCCGTTTTTTGTTTGGGGGTTCCCGGTCTAGACCGATTCACGTCTCCATAAACGTTCAAATCAAACGTAATGTACTCACCTCATAGGCACCGATGTTAGGAAAGTGTACGGGGGGTTGCTGTGAGTTTGTATATCCATTATTGTTCAATAAACATGCATTTTTTATCTCGGATGTAAGCCTCTTACTACCAATGTGCAGCAATACACCTCCCAACTGCTATCGTGGCGCTGTGGTGCAGTAGAAAGCTGGTGCACTCATTCATTGCAGGACGAAGAGGGGGTGAAGAAAATTTCAGACATCCGAGATAAAAATGCATGTTTATTGAACAATAACGGATATACAAACACATGGCAACCCCCCGTACACCTTCCTAACATCTGTGCCTATGAGGTGAGTACATTACATGTTTGATTTGAACGTTTATGGAGACGTGAATCGGTCTAGACCGGGAACCCCCAAATGAAAAGCGGGGTTCGTTTTCAAGACGTTTTGGTCCAAGGCTAGGTCCAAACCATTTATAGCGTTCATTTTCTCCATATACCGGTCCCTGGCTTCGTGGTTCAGTGTATCCCGGTAAATTCCCTTTCCTTTCTGGCATCTTAACATCTTTTCCCTCGCTTTCTCCACTCGATGCGACTCAACTACTGCGTTTGTTTACTGCTGCCTGTAGCCATCAACATGGCGGCAACGTCCATGGTGACGTCACTGTGCCCATTCCTTATTATAGGATATTATGCAGTGAATTTACTGGTCCAACCCACTTGCAATCAAATCAGACTGTATGTGGCCTATGAATTAAATTGAGTTTGACACCCGTGCCCTGCCTTAAATCCTACACACTGGACCTTTAAGTGTTTGAATGCAGCACTTTACACTTGAAGTGGAGTATTTTCCACATTGTGGTATTCTTAAGATACTTTTATTTTAAGTAACGGATCTCATCATTCATCCACCACTGGTTGTTTAATGGTGTATAAATGATAAGTGTGTGATCACTGAGTTGTGAAAAGGCGGTGGTTTGATATTTGCTGAACTGAACAGTATTTACTACGCTGTGTTTATATTTCCGACTTGTCCAGTGGGCCGTGAAGGCAGCGCGGCGCTCCGCTGCCATATTGTTGTGATATTTTCGGGGCAGCGGCGGAGTTTGGGAGTTTCAGTCGCTGTCTGCGGACTCAGCGGTCTCCACTGACGTTATCTGGAATACAACTGAGCTTCAAGTCACTGTCAAACTTAGCGGACTACGAGAGGAGCCGTCGGGTATGTACTTATTGTGATTTAAAACTAGCTGCTCTGTCACACTTCATGCTCAAGACGAGCTAAAGCTCACTCCGACTGTTGGTGCTACTTTTTCCCATTCATGCTAACAGACGCTAGTAGCTGTTTGAATCGGCGCTGTGAAAAGCTAATCTCCAGACTTTACTAAAGGTTTAAACTTTGAGATAAAGATACATGGGTGTGTGTGGTGTCAAAAACTAGCCGTCAGAGTTTGGTTAGCTTCGGCTCAGGCAGCAACAGTTGAGTTTTGAAGCTAACTTCAGAGCTAGCTCGGCTAACTAACTGAACGCTGCCAGCTGACTCCAAACTTGGGCGATAACTTTAAAAGTCATTGTGGAAACTTTAAATCATGTCGTTGGAGGTGATTATGATTACTAAAGGAGACAGTAACTCGTGGTGAGTTTACGTGTCTGTCCTGTGTTGGCTCAGTGAGATAAAGTCATTGTGGTTTATTTATTCAGAGCAGCTCAGGACGAACTGCAAACGCACCATTTATCAGGTGTAACAGCTTTTATATCGATTGTTCTGCTGCATGATTAATAAGAAGTACTTTTCAAAGTTTTAGAAAGTGTCTGGGTGCACTCCACCCACCTGTGCCTCAGCGTGCAGGTAACCTGTCATTTGTCAGAGGTCCTTGTGGAAGTGAATGTGATCCAGCCTGCTGGTGAAACTGTTTTCCACCACAAAAAGGGAAGTTTGCTCGAGTCCAAAGATTTTCAGTTGACTTCTCCCATGACTGGTATTTGTGCCTCTTAAGGTCAAGGTTCGTTCACATGTTGTCTGCCCTGCTGGTTGTAAGCTTATTTCATTTATAACGCTACAACCATTTCATTGTATATCGTATATATTTCAGATTGTCTACTTTACTATTTTTATTATTTATTTTACTTTATTGTTTACTTTAATATTTTATTTTATGTTAATGTCTACTTTATTATTTTATTTTATTCTATTTTATTCTAATGTCTACTTTAATATTTTATTTTATTTTATTTTAATGTCTACTTTAATATTTATTTTATTTATTTCATTGTCTATTTTAGTATCTTATTTATATCTTCATCTTTATCTCTTGTTTCCATTCATGCTGTATTTCTATTTCTACTTTGCACGGAGCATTGGAACAAAAACAATTTCCCCCCGGGGATTAATAAAGTATTCTGAATCTGAATCTGAATCTGAATCCATTTCCATTCAACAATTTGCTGCTTGGAAAATAATTTGTAATCCTTTGCACTGTGTTTGTAGATTCTGCTTTAACAGCTGCCAGCCGGACTAAATATCCCAAAACTACAGGTAGTCTCATTTACATCTGTTTGATTGACTAGTAGTTTGATGAGTACTTGGCCTATTTTTATTGGTTTTTAAACAACATATAAAATGCTATACAGCAGTATAAAAGAAAAAGGAAAGAAAGGTACACATATGCACAAGCAGACATATATACAGATAACTAGATATGCACAGAACCTTTGAAGGAACTGAAGATTTTTACCTTTGTAACAAAGATAAAAAAAAAAAAAATTAAATATGACTTACTTCATATGAAGTCATCAAGAAAGTCAGGGTTTAGAGTCTGGCTTTTATATATTCCAAGAATAGATTACAAATTCCCATAGATTTATCAGAACAGCCATTTAACATGAGTCTTGGTTTCTCAAGTTTGAGATGTTGCGTCACTTCCCTCAAGTCCATCTCAGCAGTTGATGGTTCTTCGTGTGGAGGAGGATTAATCTCCGTGAAAGATGCTAGATTCTTATTTTTCTCTCCTGCTATGTCAAAGATGGCTGTCAAAGGATCTGGGTGAATTTTCATTTTAAAGACGTCTGATAGTGTTTTGAAGTGGACAGATTAGGACACAGCCAGAATGAGTGTGCTAAGGATGCAGGAGGAAGTCTACCTGTCCCAAGTGAACTCAACATTAGGGTACGGGGTACTTGACCAATTTTTTTTTTTTTTTTTTTCCCAATAATAAGATTTTGTCTGAGATACATATTAACATGAATCCAATATATTATTAGGCAAGATAAGTCAGTAAACTAGTTAGCTAATAGTTACGTACTATTGAAACATACTGGGCAATTGATCCTTTGCTGAGTCCCAGCCCCAGTTGCAGACTGGCCAATCATAACGTAGCATCGGGCTGCTCAGACCAGGGTCCGACAACAAAACAACTGTCCTCCATTAATTCTAGATTTCCTTCATTGTCAGGCTGGTTTTGTGGATTTGGGGCTAAATGTTGTGCCTGGGGCACGTTGTGTATTAATAGACCTTTTTAGACAGGAATTGTGCAAATTTGCAGGAAAGCCCAATCAGCCTTTTTTCAGCATTGGCAGTATAAAAACAAAATCGGGGAGTGCAGCAAAATGCTGCCTACCTACTTTTGTTTACAGAATGCGCCTTTTTCGGGGCAATGGGGGGCGTGAGCAAGTAACAAAACGTGTAGCTCAGCGTGTGACGTAAACAGTGATGTGGGAGGGAAGCCGCGGTTGGGAGGAGGGCGCGCAATTCCTTGTCTCCCCAGTTGCTCATCTTTACAGTGTCTGTCAGGTTTGTGTTTCCCTCTTGCTACTAGCTGCTCGCTAATTCCTGCTATCAGCTGTTTCCTGTTTATCCACCGCCAGTGGGTCGCACGTGCGGCATCATCAACAGCTCCTCCCACAAGTCTTCAACAGCCCCTCCCGTTGCGGAAGGCCACCTCGTTCTGTCTAAACTAAAAGGGTAGCAGCAATATGACTACCCTACGAGGCGGAAAATTGGGCACCTCGGATCATCTCGCCAATCTGGCTCTGTGTGTGTAAATGCTCGCAGCTTGCTGGCAAAACGGCCCAACATTCGCAGAAAATCTGGCAGTGTAAAAGGGGCTAAAGATACTCGTTACCTGGAGAGGTTGGAAACAGATATACGTTTCTTCCCTGTTCCAAAACCAAAATCAAACCCTGAAAAGTGTAGGGTTAGCTAGCTAGCCGCTGAAGATATAGCCTACTGAATGTATACACATGCTGCTTTTGCTTTTTAATGATTATAACAGTGGATAAAGACCTACTGTGCTTTACAGGAACCAGTGAACTGAAACAGGGAAACTTGACTGATATTCAACCAGCTGTGTGTCATCACAGTGTGTGCAGATGAACGTTGTTTGACTTCCGGAGAGCCCTGCCTGTCTGGCGGCGGAGGTCCAGGTGCTGGCAGCTACACGGGGGCGAAGCCAAACACAGTTCATCTGCACACACTGTGATGACACATAGCTGGTTGAATATCAGCTGTCTCCCTTTATATTCATTGTGTTCTGTGGCGATCAGCAGTGATGTGGTGGTTCACCTTTACACTGTGATCTGTAGCCTATAGTTCGGCTTAGCTTCTAACTATCTTTGTCTTTTTAACCTGTTGTTGCTGCTGTTGTTACGCTTAAATACCGTCGCCTTTAGAAACGAACATCATGTATGTACACAGGGATGCACAATAATATTGACACGTCCTCAGTATCGGCCAATATTGGCTGTAAAATGAATCAGAATCGACTAACATGTTTTTCCTTATTTTAAGATAAGATACACCTTTTATTGATCCCATAATTGAGAAATTCCAGTGAATGACACTGAATGAATATTACAGACATTTGTAAATATTGTATTTCATGTCTCCATCTGCTGGTGGGCCGTCACAATAAGAGTAAAGTAAGACTTTATGTTTTTCACTATTTGATACCATTATGAAGTATCAGTGGGTGTTTTTTTACATAGACTCTAAAAATAACGATGTAACTACTGTGACGTCACTCATTGGTTTGTGGATTCTCATTTTGAAACCTCAAGTTCGGCATTTTGGCCGTCACCATCTTGATTTTTTTGAGCCAGAAGTGACCATACATGGCTGACAGGCTGGAGCTGTGGAGGACTGAGGGGTGGATCTGACTCATCTAGAGTGGTCGCACCCTTAATTGTGCGTAACTTTAAAACTTAATAAAATGTAAAGAGGTGAATTATTTAAAAATCCAGCCCCTGTGCAGTTGGCATGAATGCTAAAATTTGCCATAGAGACCAAAACTGTATTTTGGTTGGAGTTTTGGACTGTAAGCTGGTTGAAGTGGAGTGGAAACAATTTTAGGAAAGCATCATCTTCATAAAAATGTTCATATGTCTCTGTCAGGCTCAAGTACAGTCATAAATTTACTTGCATATCTACAGCATTTTGACAGAAATATCATGAGGTAAACATGAGATTGAATTTGTTATTTAATGTAACCACCCTGTTAGACCAAGCACTTCTGCAGGAAGTGAAGGTTAAAGTAAGAGATAACATCTTAGTAGAAGTATGTTGTCATCAGATGAGTCATTAGATGATAGGAGTGGTTATTATGTTGTTTCCTTGTGGTGCAGCTCAGACAGATATGTAGTGATAAAGTACGTCTGTTTGTGGTCAAAAATTTAAAGTTGGTGTTTGAGATGTTTTTTCCAGTGCAACTTTTCATACTTCCAAGACTTGTCAGCAGGATGTTTGGCCCATAATTGGTATCAAACCTGTGACCTTTTTGGTAATGAGACGGTGTGTGAGACTGAAATACCACCCTGCCCTTTCCCCCGACTGTCAAATCTTAATGTTCTTGGAATCCTCCTGAATTATGTTAATACTTGTAGAGCTGCACCTACAGATGATTTTCATCATCAGTTCTTATAACTAACAATTATAGCATTTATGTTTTCAAATGTTGAGTCTATACAATTTTAGAAAACTTCCCACAAACCCAATGTGGCATCTTAAAATGTCTTGAACTATCCAACCAACAATCTAAACCCCTCAAATATTCAGTTTACAGTTTTACAAAACAAAGAAAAGCAGCAAATCCTCACATTTGAGGTGCTCATACTAGCAATTGATTGGCCTTTGATTAATGATTGAAATTATTCATTAATTATTTTGATTAATGTTTTGATAATCAACTAATTGTTTTCACTTTAAAGAGCACCATGTCTCAAAAGTTG